GTTTAATCTTTCATTAGGAAACTGGTGGCCATAAATCATTTGTTTTGCATGACAATGCGATGGGGCAAATTGGGTTTGGGCCTCTTGGCTTCTCAGCTCCTCATTTTGTGCTGTGCATACAGATCAGACCTTGGAGATTGTTTAAATAGATTTAAACAGAAAATGCAAAGACATCCTTCCTGCTTCAACATTGCAGATCTGATCCTGTTAATAGAATTTAGTTATAGCCTGTCTCAGCCATTTCTTCTTGAGGCCCACATGAGAAAGTTGCTGCCCTTTCTTATTCATTCAGGAATGTGAATATTACATTCAAGGCCATTATTTATTTCATTTGAGGAGCTGCTTTCTTAATGTTGTGGCAGCATAGTTTATCTACATTTGACAATGTAGCTTATTGAGACACCTCCACTTAGACATTTGACCTCCCTTCAATTGAATCATCAAAAACCAGTGTGCCCTTGGTGGGAGTTTGGCCCTTTAATAAAATGCAAATTCAAGATTTAATGTCCAAGCCCAGTCTGTAGGATTAGATTGTTCTGGAGTTAATGTAACATGTGGGCCCTGAATTCCTAACTGATTATTCCTAATGGGACAGTTCCAGGCCTCAACCAATGAGGTAAGATTTTTAAAATCTTTGCCTGAGCGTGGACCGCGTGTTGCCAATCCCAGAGTCAGAAATTGGAGACCACAGATTGTCACCATTCGGCTCAGTCTATCTGTGTAATGCTACTCTGGAGCCAGTCAGCTGACTTCAATCTCTCATTCTGTCTCTCCATTCTACCTTTTAAATTCACTTGTGGGGCATGGGCATTGCTGGCTGGGCACAGCATTTATTGCCTGTCCCTAGTTGCCCCTTGAGAAGGTGGTGGTGAGCTGCCTTCTTGAACCGCTGCAGTCGAGATGTTGTAGGTTGACCTACAATACCCTTAGGGAGGGTGTTCATGATTCTGATCCAGCGACACTGAAGGAAAAGTGATATATTTCCAAATCAGGTAGTGGCTTGGAGCGGAACTTGCAGGTGGTGGTGTTCCCATGTATCTGCTGCTCTTGTCCTTCTGGATGGAAGTGGTTGTAGGTTTGAAAGGCGTTTCCTGAGTTTCTGTAGTGCAACTTGTGGATAGTACACACTGTTGCTCCTGATCATCAGTGGTGGAGGGAGTGGATGCTTATGGGTGTGGTGCCAATCAAGCGGGCTTGATTGGCCTGGATGATGTCAATCTTCTTGAGTGTCATTGGAGCTGCGCCTATTCCAGGCAAGTGGGGAGTATTCCATCACACTCCTGACTTGGGTATTGTAAACGATAGACACTAGGGAATCAGGAGGTTAGTTATTGCTGCAAGATTCCCAGACTCTGGCCTGCCCTTTTAGCCACAGCACTTATATAGCAAGTCCAGGAAAGTTCCTATTCAATTTTAACCCCCAGAATGTTGATACTGGCAGATTCAGTAATGGTAAATAGTATTGCATGTCGCGGGATCATAGATTCTCTCTTATTGGAGATGGTAATTGCCTGGCATTTGTGGGACAGTGAAAGTTTCCTGCAACGTGACCAGCCGAAACGGAGATATTGTCCAGTCTTGCTGCATTTGGGCGTAGACTGTGTCAGTATCTGAGGAGTCCTAAATGGTGCTGAACTTTGTGCAATCATTGGTGAACACTCCACTTCTAATCTTGTGGGGAATCCTCATCGATGAAGCAGTTGAAAATGTTTATGCCTGGACACTGCAGTGGTAGTGTCCCTTCCTCTAGGCCAGGAATCAAACCTCAACGGCTCTAGATATGTGTAATAACATCCGTGAACAAGGTGATTAGGAACTGCTGTAGTGATGTCCTGGGACAGAAGCAAATGCCCTCCTATAGCCACGACCGTCTTCCTCTGTGCCAGGAATGACTCCAACCAATTTTCCTCTGATTTCCCCATTGACTGTAGTTTCTGTTTCTACTCTTTGTCTGATTGCTCCTTTGCCTCTCTATCTCTCAAGCTGTTTGTGCTGTCACTCCTTTCCTTGTATTTTGTATGCACATTTTTTTAATAGAATCCCTACAGGCACACCGACCCTCGGAGCATTCCACCCAGACCTATCCCCCTAATCTACACTATGGGGCAATTTAGCATGGCCAATCCACCTAGCCTGCACATCTTTGGACTGTGGGAGGAAACCCACACTGACACGGGGAGAATGTGCAAACTCCACACAGACAGTCGCCCAAGGGTGGAATCAGACCTGGGACTCTGGTGCTGTGAGGCAGCACTGCTAACCACTGAGCCCACCGTGCTGCCCTAAATTGTTCCCTCACACTGTCCCCATCTATTTGTCTTGTTCTCTTGCCTCGCACATACTGTGTCCCTCCTTCCCATACTGCCAGCACTCATTCTGTCTCGCACACTCTCACTCTCACACACTCTCGCATTCTCTCCATCTTACACACTCTCATTCTCTCTTTAACACGCATGAATGCATGCACATGTACAGCATGTTTTTGGAAAAAATCTCTTGGAACAACAAATATCCATCGTCCTCAGTAAATTACTGAATATTTGCAATATTACATTTACCTACAGCGAACAGAGTGATAAATGTAAAGTTTCACAGCTGACACAACATTTGAGGGAATTTGGATTATCAATCCCATGTTGGCAGCCATTTAAGATGATGAGATCTATTGATTCAGTTAATTTCTGACATTTGTTCAATGTTCTACTCAGATGTTCGGTTCTTGCGGTCTTTTCTAATCTCTCCTCTCTAATCTGGTGGATCTGAAATATTTAAACTTTGAATGAAGATAGGTTCTTGTTGACAGGTCAGTTGGGAATTATTATTTTAAATATGTTACAAAAGAGCTGAAGTTATGTTTCAGAATTGGAAGTGATTACAAGGGCACGATTTATATCTGTTAGTGCCTCGCAGTACAATTTTTCTCTCTCTAATCCCAACTGCTTTATGGAATTATTATTATTATCATGGTTGAAGAACATGAGACCATTCATTCCATTGTATCTGCGCCAGCTCTGTGTCAGGGCAGCCAGCTAGTCCCACACACCCTCTCCATCCTGCAACCTTGCACATTTTTTCTCCTGTTTAATTATCCAAATCCCTTTCGAAAGCCACAGTAAAATCTGCCTCCACCATACTCCGTGCATTCCAGATCCTAACCGCTCTTTTGTTTCTTTCTCATAACATCTCTTTTTTTTTACCAGACCCTTAAGTCAGTCCTTTAGTTCTCAGCCCTCTGGCAAGTTTTGTGTAGGGTTTATTCTTGTTAGTATCTTCAGCTGTATTGTCTTGCTTTATCTTAAATTCTCTGTTACACTCTCTGTCTGTTTGTTCCCTTTCTTTTGCTCTATCCCTCTCTTTCTCCTCTCTTCTAGATCTTCCTTTAGCATTTTCTCCTGCACATTTTCCCACTCTCCTGTTCTCTCCGTCTTGTACATGGACATTTGTATGTTTCATGCTTCTGCCAAGGAATTGTACAATATCATCATTAGTGTCCAACAGAATGGTTTAAAGTTTATTAAGGTGGACAGCGCATCCATTGGTTTTACACTCCTTCAGTGGTGAATTGGAGAAGCAATCTAGATTATGCTCTGGCCACAGCCTTTAGAATTTGTTTTATTAATTCACTTGTGGGATGTGGGCATTGCTGACTGGGCCAGCATTTATTGCCTGTCCCTACTTGCCCCTTGAGAAGGTGGTGGTGAGCAATCTTCTTGAACTGCTACAGTCCACATGCTGTACATTGACCCACAATGTCATGGGGGAGGGATTTGCAGGATTTTGACCCAGCAACCATGAAGGAACTCAGGGTGGTGCATGGTTTGGAGGGGGAACTTGCAGGGGGTGGTCCCATGTATCTGCTTCCCTTGTCCTTGTAGATGGAAGTGGTTATGGGTTTGGAAGTTGCTGTCTGAGGAGTCTTGGTGAATTTCTGCAGTGCATCTTGTATACAGTACACACTGCTGGTAGTGAGCATCGGTGGTGGAGGGAGCGGATGTTTGTGGATATGGTACCAATCAAGCGGTTGCTTTGTCCTGGATGGTGTCAGACTTCGAATGTTGTTGGAGCTGCACCCATCCAGGCAATTGGGGAGTATTCCATCAGACTCCTGACTTGTGCCTTGTAGATGTGGACAGACTTTGAGGAGATAGGAAGTGAATTACTCACTGCAGAATTCCTAGCTTCTGGCCTGCTCTTTTATCCACTGTGTTAATGTGGTGAGTCCAGGTCAGTTTCTGCTCAATTGAGACACATCAAATGGATTCCTGGTGACCAACAGCACCATTAAATATTTATATCATATCTTTAAAACCTCTTACTGTCTTTGAAGGTTCAGAATCAGATACAAACCAAATAGATGTTTGAGAAGTCAACCAAAAATATTGTTGAGATTTTGAGGGAAAGTGATGTAATGAGGAGGAGAGGATTAGGTAGGTTAATTCATCGCCTCACTTTGCTCTGTGAGCTTGTTGCAGAGCCTTTTTTAAACCTTTTTGTGTTGTACATGAACTGTTCTGACAACTAATGTTTAATCCTTAAACAAAAACAGAAGTTGCTGGAAATGCTCAGCAGGTCTGGTAGCATCTGTGAAGAAAAAAGTTAGTGTCAACGTTTCGGGTCCAGCGACCCTTCCTTTAACTCCTGATTTTTTTTTTTCTTACCAGATGCTGCCAGACCTTCTGAGCTTTTCCAGCAACTTCTGTTTTTGTTCCTGATTTACAGCATCTGCAATTCCTTCAGTTTTTACTTAGTATTTAACGTTTAGTCCTTTACCTGTTTAAGGAAAGTATTGGATTATCAGTGTGATAATGTGAAATTTGAGAAGTTACCAACTGTGCAAAAACTTTTGTTACAAATCTCCTGTTATGCTATTATTGCACTCAAATGGAGGTAACAGTATGAACACATATTTTAATTACAAATGGGGCCTGGCAGTGTAGGGGAGTTCAATCTCTCAAGTGCTATCGTTTCCTTTTATTGACAGTTCTTTAATTTCCTTATAGCCAGGCCAGTGAATGATGCGGAGCTCAGCCCAAACACCATCACAGCACGAGCTGGTTTTTCGGGAAAGATTGTTGTAGCAACATGTACATCTGCCAATGGGAAGCCGCCAGGAATCATCACTTGGGAGACAAAAGTAAATGGGGAGGCAGTTGTTAAAGAATTCCGCAACCAGAATGGCACCATCACAGTGATCAGCCAGTACCTGCTTGTTCCATCCAGAGAGGCTCACAGGCAATCACTGACATGTGTGGTGAACTACCAGACGGATCGCACCACCAAGGTGCTGATGTTAAATGTGCAGTGTGAGTATCAGCTGTATCAGTATTTCTAACTTTCTGAAAACTGAACAGAAGCATGTCAACCTTTTTTGCTGTGAACGATGGCTCTGTGCTCCTTTCCCCTTGCATGTATACCCTTACCTCACAGGGACACGTGTTCTCAATACCCTCCTAAAATAAGCTGAATTCTTGTAAAGCTCCTCAACCATAGGCTGTTGAATAGACAGTAGACCCCAAGTGGAATATTTAAGGGACGGGCAATGGCTGAAAATAAGAATTTTGAAGAGGTTTTTTTTGAAGCTGAGGTAGGTGGCAAATCCGAAGTCAACAAAGCAGGAACTTCCAGAAGCAAGTGGGCAGAAGTGATCCAAGCAGCCATTCCCTGGAGGAAAGGACTCTCATTGTTAACATCTCCAGGATACATCATGCAATACACATTAACCAACTTTGTGTAACATTTCTGATCTTTGACATTCTCCATTCAAAGGCACCTCCTCAGTTGAGAAGTGGTAGGTCACCATCTCTGAACAGCCTGGGCCATGACCAAGTGGAAGCACAAAGTCACATTGCAGACAGATACCTGTCCTGGTAGAAGTAGCTTTATCTCTCAACATGACAATGTGGTTAATTCTTTTGTCTAATAAATAGGTTATTTAAGGCAAAACTACTAAATGAAGTAAACTCTTTCGGGTTTGGGAGTGAATACGTACAAAGCTGTCTCTGAAATCTCTGTGTTGGTGCCATTACTTCTCCGTGCAGATGAACCAGAGGTTACAGTGGAAGGATTTGATGGGAATTGGTATTTGAACAGAGAAGATGTACGTCTGACATGCAGAGCAGACGGCAACCCACCTGCCACAAAGTACAAGTGGAAGATGTAAGTACTTGCAGCTCTCTGTATGGGCTCCACAAGAAACAGCAAACTCTGGAAATTTGCATTTGAAAATAAAAATGTGGTTAATTCCTTGGATGGAAAATTTAAATCATTACTAAGCTCCTCTAACAGTGTCTCCACCCACAACTTCAGTCCATTTCTTCCCTTTTGAAGCTTGTTGTGCATTCCCAGTGCTTACAGATTTTATTTTAGCCTCAGCTGCTTTCTTGATATTTTGCCAGGGTGATCAGATGCCGCTCCCTGGCTCTGTACTCCCTCTCCAGCTGGATCACCGTCCTTGTCTGATTCTGGCTTCCTTGAGCAAACCTGGTTTTACACACCCTCCCCATCTCTTAAAAACAACACTTCAAGCTTTTGGTTACAATAACGTGTGGCTCAGTGTCAAACATCATTCATGTTCTTACAAACAGCCTCGGAATATTTGCTATGTTAATGGTGCTAGTATGTTGTTGTCGCCATCATTGTCATTGTTTGAGGCATTCCACCCACCCGCACCCCCCCAACACCCTCCTCCCAACCCCCAGCAGCAGCTTCCTCAATGGGGTTTAATCTGAACATTCAGTCAGTCTGACTTTCCATCTGCTTTTGGAACAAGGGCCATAAATTCTTAGCTGCAATTAAATGTGAAGATGTTACAAAAGCATTTTATTACATTTTTCCAAAATCATTTGTGTTGATGTAGCTCATCATGGGAAATAGATGTCAGTGCTGTGGAATGAAACATGCTCTGCTTGTACCTACTTGTGATTTTCTCAGATATGAAAAAGCAGTAATCCCAAAGACAGACAGTTATACTCCCTTTCCTTTCCTGTCTCAACTATCCTTGTATCCTCCGCATCTACTGTGAGTTATTTCATGTTTTGGATAATGGGATGAGAGTGCTGAAGCTCAATGAAATTTGACATTAAGAGCCGTCAGACTTTCGCCTGGAAATACATCTAGGTTTCTGAGATCATGTTGTATGTGGCTGCATTATCCAACAACAGCAACTTACATTTATATATCCCCCTTTTTAAGGTAATTAACTACCCCAAACTGCTTGGTAGCAATGTTCTAAAACAAAATTTGACACCAAGCCACATAATCAGGTATTAGTACATCTTGGAAAGTGAAAGGTTTCAGGAGCATCTTATAAATAGATTATCCTTTATTGGATACAGGAGTACAGTGAAAAGTTTTTACAATGGCAGCCTTTTAATCGTGCCATCTCAGGCACAAGTACCTAGGTACACATCTTACAGAGTAATAAAACATACTTTACAATCCTCTTGGATAACAACATTAAGGATTTACATTACAGTCCAGTAAGGAGTACCAAACAGCATCAGCTCAGCACGCAGTACCAGGCCCATGTCCAACAACTGTCCACTCCTCACCAGCAACAAGGTAAGTCTCCTCCTTCACCGGCTCATCCCCCTACCCCCCACCCCACCGCGGTGTACTGGCTCGCAGTGATTCATTCCCCCCACGGCTATGGGGACTTGCTGCCAGCACCTGCTGGTATTCATCTCCTGTGCTTCATTACTCAGATGTTTGTGTACAGGAGTCGAGATGTCGTTTTGAAGTTGTAGAGAACGCTGCTGAGGCTTCTTCTGGAGTAGTGTGTCCAGTTCTGGTCACCCAAACAGCAGTCTGGGAGTAGCTTCATCCCACAGATTCTCGCAGTTCAAGAAGGTCCAGTGTGATTTTGGATGGCGGCACAGTCGCTCAGTTGCTAGCGCTACTACCTCATAATGCCAGGGACCCAGGTTGAATTCCATCCTTGGGCAACTGTCTGTGTGGAGTTTGCACATTCTCCCCGTGTCTTCGTGGGTTTCCTCCCAGGTGCTCTATTTTCCTCCCACCAGTTCAAAGCTTTGTACAGGTTAGGGTGGATTGGCCATGCTAAATTGCCCACAGTGTCCAGGGATGAGTAGATTTGGTGGATTGGTCATGCTAAATGCAGGGTTACAGGTATACAGTGGGGGAGCTGGATCTGGGTGGGATGCTCTTAGGAGGGTTGGTGCATACCTGATGGACCAAATGACCTCTTTCAGCTCTGTGGGGATTCTAAGGAGGACAGAGGCCTAGGAAATAAATTTTGGAACATAAAGTTAATAGGAAGGAAGACCTGGACGCTCAGGATGGGGCAGTAGTATTTGGAGATGGTCAGGAGAGACTCCCCATCTAGATTTTCCTGGTGATCCTCTGTCTTTGGGATTATTCTGGAGTAAAGGACTGCTTTTTAATGGTTGTCACCAACGTTTTTCTCACTAGAACTAGTAGCAGTTAGGATACCAGTCATCGCAACATTGATGGGGCAGTATCCAGGTCAAATGATATGTACTTTCCAGTGTTTTATACTTGTCACTATTCATACAAATGCCAGCAGTGGTCAGGCAGGACAGAAGACTGATGTAACAGAATGTAAGGGCACTCTCTTTTTAAAGTGAAGGGGTGTAGAATTGGGGTGTATGGGCTCCAGAAGGGGGAGGGGGCATGGGGCACTTTACAAGCAGGTACATGAGTATAAGGTGAGTTTTATAGCAAGCATGGTGAGACAGTATGGGAACTAAACGTTAATTGTTAATGAAGTGAAAACTATGTTTGATCAAGTAAATAAACAGTGCTTGACAAGACTGGATAGGCAAATGTGCAGCTGCCCACTGTTTGATCTGTCTTCGGAACTGCACCTAGGTTGTTTGTTTTATGTTGAAATATGATGTGCAAGGCAACACAAAACTCATCTTACATCATTGTGCGTTTTGGTTTCACTTGAGCAACACTAGGTTTCACTGGGCAATATCACCTTTACAGCAGTTTCTGTATTTACTGAAAACAATCGGATTTTGTAATGTTTCTGGGCCAAGCTGCCAGGCCTCGTGGTCAGTTTAATGAGCTTGCTGTGATCTTGTGTCACATCTGAATTAGTGGCACTGTTTTATTAAAATGTTCAAACAACTGTTTCTGCTTTGGATGTATCAATGCAGATGGATGATAGGTCAAGTACCTTTCAATCAGCTTCTAACCCCCAGAGTCCCATCTGTTCCAACAAATGATGGATTTAAATTGCAATTTAGAGAACAGGAAAATTGCATGTTTATTAATAAAAAAAAAAGAATCCAAGGTAGTAACTGTTGTACCTGGGAAAAATATTGTTGTGGGGATTTAAGTGGGGGAAATTTTGCTATCTTTATTTGTGTTTCATTAGCTGTTCATGCCGAATTCTAAGCGAGCATTTATTGGATATATTCAGTAGCAGATATGGCATGCAGCATTGTATTCAGTGATGACTTGAAGTCGGAACTTGCCAGTGCAATCTAACTAGAGTTGGCAGCTTGATCCAGTTCCAGTGAGCCTAAATTGAATTTTCAAATGGTTGTTTATGGCAAGGATCTGAATATTATATTAGTCTCATGTTAACTGCTCGTCCAACACTGGACCGGTTATGCCAGTAATGTTAAGATGTGTAAAAATAACACGGCATTATCTCGCAAGCTCCCCCATACTGAAAGAATTCATGTGCATTAGCAAGCTTCATTAAAATAGTTCTGAGCCTTGTGTCATTGAGGCAATAATCCCTTTTACAGGCACATTGGAAACTGGCAATCCAGAAATCATTAGCAAATGGTCATAATTGTTCATCAGTTGGCTGTGAGAGTCCAGCACAAAAAATGGTCCATTGAGTCCATGGTGCCCCTTCCAAAGAGCAATCCGGTTAGTCCCACTCCTCCACTCTTTTTCCCTACATCCCTCCTTTTTTATTTGGCTTCAAGTATTTGACCAATTCCACTTTTAAACAACAATTAAACCTACATCCACCAACCTATTGGGTAGACAATTCCACTTCTCAACCACTTGTTGCATAAGAGTGTCTTACTCCCAGTGTGCTGAAAGTTACACTGACCAACAATTTAATAGTATCAGTGGGGCTTTATAGAATCCACATACGTTCATACATAGGGCCCAGTCATCTGCAGGGAAAAGGAATTCGTACATGCGTTATTCCTTCTCAATTAGCTTGTAGGACACTGATATCGGGTGCATTCCCCATGGCTTGTCTCAGTCGTTCTAAGTGGACTTGCATTTCTTAAATAAAAGCTTTGGCACAACTGTGTTTCCTGGTGTGGTCTCTGCAAAAGTGCCTCAGCCAATCAGAATGCACATGCGAACTAATTGGCACGCTGATTTTCATGCAGAATAAATTGAAGTTTGGAATTCTTGCATGCTGGGTGCAAGGTGAAAAACTTCTATAGCTTGTCTGTTTATCAACAATACTCAAGTTATGTGCTACCAAGTGACTTAAAAACATTTCTCCATGTAGAGTCATAGAGTTGTACAGCACAGAAACAGACACTTCAGTCCAACATGCCCATGCCAACCAGATGTCCTAAATAAATCTAGTCCCACTCACCAGCATTTGGCCCACATCCCTCTAAAGCCTTCCTGTTCATATATCCATCCAGATGCCTTTTAAATGTAATTGTACCAGCCTCAACCACTTCATCTGACACTCATTCCATACACCCATGACCCTGTTGTGGAAAAAGTTGGTCCTTAGGTCTATGTTACTTCTATTTACTTTGCCACACACCTGCAAACACTGTCCTTTAGTTACCAACCTTTGCACCATTAGAAGATAACAAGGTGTAAAGCTGGATGAACACAGGCCAAGCAGCATCAGAGGAGCAGGAAGGCTGACGTTTCGGGCCTAGACCCTTCTTCAGAAATGGGGGCGAGGAAGGGGGTTCTGAAATAAATAGGGAGAGAGGGGGAGGCGGATAGAAGATGGATAGAGGAGACAGACAGGTCAAGGAGGCAGGGATGGAGCCAGTAAAGGTGAGTGTAGGTGGGGAGGTAGGGAGGAGACAGGCCAGTCCAGGGAGGACGGACAGGTCAAGGGGGCGGGATGAGGTTGGTAGGTAGGAGATGGGGGTGGCGCTTGAGGTGGGAGGGGGGGATAGGTGGGAGGAAGGACAGGTTAGGGAGGCGGGGATGAGCTG